TCGAGACTTGTTAAGGAATGGTTTGGGCTCCAATACATTTTAAGTGGGCTAAAAAAAAAAACACACAACACGTAATCTTTTGGGGAATCAATGCCTTGTGTAAGGTATTGAGAAGCAGATATGAATGCAGAGTACAATAGAGACTGACTTTTTCACAAAAATATTAAAAAATATTTGCGAATATGCAAAGATAAGGGGACAGAAATGTAACTAAAGATCCTGCAAAAGCCTTGCATGTTATTGGTCTTCTTTTGCAGCCCTTTTTATCCTATTTACTGTGTGCTACATGTTGTTTTGTTTACCGACGCAACAATAATAAAAAATCATGCCATTTGAGGAATCGAATGTTTTCGACTTTCTTGAACCTCAAGGTCAAAAGTATGCGAGTAATTTCAGCTAATCTTTCATTTTGTACCATCAGCATGATGCAGATATGGCCTCAGGCCCCGCATTTGACTACATTTAACTCCCCTGAAACCGCATTGCCCGTTTTCTACACCTTCAACTCACTAATCTGTCTAGAGCATGAGATTGTTAGACGTAGGGAAGATAAGAAATCAAAGAGTGTTGTGCTTCATCGTGGCCCTGGAAGATAAGGCCCTTTACTGTCACATAAAATCAGGAGCTGCCTGCTGAAAAACACTCCATCCCCCGGCTCTACCCCACCATCACCATCATCACTACTCTCTCAGTCCTACCATCTCCACAAATACTCGGTGCTCACTTCACTGACAAACTATTCCAGAGACAAATCAAATCTACAACCACCTATTACAACACATGAGTAATGTGACTGTGGCAGAAATATTTTGTGCAAATGGAGCCACTGTTCAGATTTAGAGATATAAGATAATGTGTTTGTTTTTTTTAAATCAGTGCTGTGCATGCTTTCCTTTTTTTATATATGACAATTGCTTTGTACCATACATGTAATTAATAACCTTTAACATTTTTACAAGCACCATTGGGGGCAGTGGCGCAGAGGGCGCCTGCAGTTATCTTTAGATGACTTGTGCCAAGTTAACACAATGAGGAGGACAGAACAAAGACAAACAGTTAAAGTGGCCGCATAATTAACCAACCTGAGGCTATGGGATACATTAGCTAACAAAAACACGTTTTTTCAGCCTTTTAGATGAGCTGCTTACTACCGAAGTCGGAAACTGCAAACAAAAAATAAGAGAGAAAGGACACACGCTGATGCTGTCATGTCACTCATCTTAAATTAGATTACTGCTTAACATTCATGTACACATTTGTCATGGTGCTAAGACTCATTGTACAAGGAGCTGGCTGCATCATAAGAGCCGGATCACACTTACAGCAAAAGGATGAAGATGTTGGCAGGAGCTGTTTTCCTCGTGAAGGATGGAAAACTGTAATCAAATTAACAGTGCTTCTTTTTGAAGATGAGTGTGACAACACCAGAGTGACTTGAGATTGACGGTTTGACTCATTGGACATCAAATCCCAGTCATTCATAACAGTGACAAGTGGAGGAGGGTGCGGAAAGTCAGTGTTTCGTACGCAGATGCTTCTAAGCAATTATATAAATTAAGTTGTCAGATGGGTCCTGGGGGACGTTTGTCTTCCAGACTCTGAGAAACCAGCGGGCCTGCCTAACAAACAAAGTGCTGGATAGGAAGGCAGCCAAGGAAGGGTCAGCCACTGTCAACTTTAACAACTTTTCTTAAGAAGAATGTCTTTAATCTAACAAACATGTGTCATCTCAATTCTTACCAGGCAACGATGCTCAGATCCTACATTCTTAGTCACCGTTTTTCTCTTTGAGAGTAAAATCACACACTTGCATTCACTGGACACAGCAAACATGTTGTTTACTGATTTCAAGATGCCCAGCAATTTTCCGCACAGTTCCTAGCTTCACTTTCATCAGCGTATCGGAATAAACCGAATGTGCTTTGTTTACTGACTCTGTGTTCTTCATACAGCCTGTGCTGTGTGTGTCACTGTCTGTGAACATATTTGTTGTCCTCTTGCATAAAAATATATATAACGTTTGTTCTCTTATTTTCCTTCATATATCAAAAAGGTACTTATTTTGTAGCTACCTATTTGTTTCTGGCATTCTATCTGCTATTTCTTTATGAATGGAGCTCTATTAACAAGATAAGAAAAGAAAGAACAAACATTTTCTTTTATCTGCAAATTGTTTTACCAACGCGATTTAAATTTGAGTTAAAAAAAAAAACAAATAAATTACATCTAATGTAGATTCTTAGGTGAAATCAAGTAGTTATAAAGGATTGGATTATCAACTTTGGGGGGTTTTTCCTTTTTATCCCCAGAGATTTAGTAAATGCTGCTACATGGGGTCCATGTGTATGAACAACAGACAACTGTGGTGTGTTCGAATGGGATCTCCATTTTCTCTCTATTAGTCTCAGATTTGTCAGTGAAAACAGGACTCCCTTGGGTGCCATTGACAGTTTATATCTCTAGCCTGTCTCTTGTCAGTGCTGGTATGCATTTTTCTCAAGTGTCCCAAGGGCCTCCACCAGAGTTGTCATTTCCAATTAGCCATACTCTAAACCCATGCCGTTGGCCCATGTCAATAATAATTTCATTTAAGAAGATTGGACAGCTGTAACTTCCAGACAGTTTTGATTCCCATCAAGGTTAGCCAATCTACTCATTTGCATTTCATATCACACCTGCCCCAAAGTGGATGTACAAACATTTGAAAGCATGTATTGCAAGCAAATAACTGATTTACATCCGATAAGGATAGGGGTAACCTCTAATTTGTGCCAAGAGAAACAAGCACAGCTGTTCACTTCCTCCATCAATTCCCCTGATAAGCAGGTGAAGCTACTTTTGATTGGGTTCTTGCCTGGCGACTTTAACTATACGTCTCATGGTGAGATGGACCATTTTCAGATGATCCCAGGGAATTAAAGTCAGCGGTGAAAGGGGGTTCATATGAAAATCGTTTAAGCACATTAAGTCTCATGAAATATATATCTAGATTAACATTATGGCAAATGATGGCCCATTTAAAATCACAAGCATGCCTTCAAGTAAGGCTTCCATCATTAAGTCTTAATGGATCCTGCACTGTGCAACACTAACAGGAAACATTTGCAGTCTGAGACGTAGGTTACATGACTTTAAAGCTGACTACTTAATCAAAGTTGTTTACTTGTTTACAGTGAAACCATTTACTACTTGGTGTCAAAAAAAAAAAAAAAACACCTGACAAAAAGTCAAGAGCGCTGTGTGTGTAAGAAAACAAAAAGGAAAAATGTTTGGCTGATCCGGCTAGAATTGTCTTTACATTGGAGCGAAATTGAATATTGAATGCGTACATGTAGCAAACCATATAGTACAACTACAGTACAGTATGTGACATAACAGTCGAATATAGATGTGCTCCACTGGCAGTCTTTCAAAGGATGTGAATGGAATTGTGCTTGAAGCAAAAAAGACTAGTAGGCTTCTTTCCTCTGTGCATCACACTCACTTCTACACACAAACACACACCGTATAGTATAAAGTGTAAGTCAACACCATGACCTGCCATATACGTCATAAGATATTTTGAGCATCTAAATTCCTAAAATAGCAAAAACTAAATCTGTAAAAATTACAACATTGTTTTACCTTCCTTTTTATGTTTCATTTAGTGTTCTTGTGAAATGTCAGCCTCTAAGCCACATGTTGGTTTCTATCGGCCCTGTTTTGTGATAATGTTTATATCCGTGAGATTTCCATCAGCAATGTTTCCAAAGCATCACTATAGTTGAGCATAATTTGTGTCAAATTCTATAGCGAAGCATGCACAAAATACTTTCTGTATTTTTAGAAACAAACTAGTCCAAAGGTTCATGGTTTAAATCTTCAGGAGTCTTGAATATTGTAGTGACATACTTAGTGGCTTTGAATTAGTAACTGGCCTTAAAAATAGTACAATGTTTCTTAGTGGACCTGTTTTAAAAAGAGACGCAAAAGCAGCAGGGGGATTTACTGACAGCAGACACACTTTTAAAGGTTGAATTTTCCTCTGGCAGACTCTGCTCTATCTGCCACCATTCGGCTAATTAATGTCATGGAAAAAGAAATTCACACAAACTTAAAAAATAAAAGAATCATAGATAATATTCCTAAATGAATAATGGCTTAATAATACCCCTCGCATCATCCAAACACAGCCCTGAAAAAGCCAAATTAAGAAGATCAAACAAGAGCCTGCAAGCCCCAGAGCCACAATGCACAACCCCTGTCACCAGCACATACAGATGATAGCATTATACTAAACATTCAACCGCAGCAAGCTGCAAAATTAGAGCTTGGGAACTTAGCATATCTCTGATTAGATAATTCCTGTGGGTCTACTTGTGTGGTAAGTGGTGTGTTAGATGTTCCTGCTCTGCTAACCCAAAGATGCACTCCCAGAAAAAACTAAAAAAGACCTGCCTCTGACCTAGCAGGCAAGCTGTTTTTCTTACACAAAAACATATTTTCCATGGATCTCTTTGAGCTCCTATCGAAAGCAGCTAGACCTCAACCCCACTTCAGTGTAAATAGTGTCTCTTTTCATGCTGCTGTGGGCTCAGTGCAGGAATCATATTATTTGTGCTGAAACCTGTGATTATTTTCCCAAGGCATAATAAATTGCAAATGTGTTTTCCATTAAACACTTGGTGATGGGCATCTTGACATAAAAGCTCCATCAGCCACATGCGTACTTTTGACCCCAGTCACTTTTTAGGAAAAGGCAGAAGTTATTGAAACTAGGCTACATGAAGACAAGAGCCAGACTGAAGAACATAGGGTTGTCAGTCAAAAACGTCATAAATAGATAAACGATACCATACAAACTATTCAGATGTGTATCAGGAGGTATTATTAGGATCATCATCACCATCAATGCCAGGAGAACTTGTCTCTCTGAACAACCTGCATTCACTCACACAGCTGTGGCTCAATTACAATATATAGACAAAAAAGGAAACACGAAAGTAAAATACTTTACTCACGGAAATAAATAAAAGTCGTTCCCTTCTTCTATGTTTTTATTTTCTCTCCCAGGTGATCCGAGCAGCGGGGACCGCGGTAGTGTCTCTCCCTCCCGAGCCAAACGGCGGAATGGCAGTGGTATTAACAGTATCAACTCCGGGTCCTCGTCTCTGTCGCTCTATCTGGCTAGCCAGCGTAAACGGTACATCCTCAAGTAAAAAAATTGCAATACAAAGACATTGTTTCTTTCAGCTCGTCCCCCCTCGAGCGAAACCAAACCGTTCCCTTCCACTTCAGGGAGCTTTCCGTCGGAGCTGTGCGTCGTGGTACACGGAGCTTTGGTTTGTCTCTCCTCAGTCAGCCTCCACCGCTGCAAGCCGGCGCTCTCCCTGCAGCGCAACATCCCGTCTCACTGCTGAGGGGGAAAAAGGTGGCCCTTATTTAGTTATGAGGAGTGGCATCGCGCCACTTTCTGCCACTGCGTAACATCAGGGTTATCTTTTTTCTAAATGTGTCTGTTTTTATTTTCCAGTAGTCGCGGATGAACATTGAAAAGTTGGTTAAATTCGAGTAAACATATCAAACAGACGATGTTACCTGTGCCGTGTGCAAAAAGGGTCGGGAATGTGTTTCCCCTACAGGTGCAGTCAATAAGGCTGATTTTGGCTAATTTAAGAAATTAAACACATTTTAACTGGTTAGCTAAATGAAATACATGGGCAGTTATACATTACTACTAGCCTATAGCAGTAGCAGTTGATGAACTAAACGTTAGCTATAGCTAAAGTAGGCCTAGTTATAGTTAGTTGTTTTAACAAGCCCCCCATGGGTGGATTACAGAAAGGGCAGGTCCAGGGCCCCTAAGGGTTCAGGGGGGCTCTGAGCCTGACCCTTTGCATAAAGTCCGTAGTTCTCACTGTCCACTTCGTCTTATCTTCTCATATATTATTGTGGGATACAGGTAAATGTATTCCTAATTATTGTAGTTATGAACAGTGCATATTTATACATCTCTGCCTGTATGACAAGTGGCCCTCCAGTGGTCACAGTTCGGGGCAACCTTTCTCTTGGTTTTAAAAATATGAAATGTATACTATGCTACCATTGTGTCTGACCAATGGGTAGAGTACAGTGGTCTATTAGTCCCAGTACCAAACTACGTGTGTGTTGTAATTTGTGTTTGCTTGTTGAATGCAGTTGTATTTACTCACTGTGACCACAGGAAGGCAGGAATTCACCACCACAATATTTAAGCATTTATTCTAGCTTTGCTGCATTACATCTTTTTTTTAAATGTTTGCGAACAAATGTGTACATTATTAACAGCAATACTTTTTACATTAAGAGTATGACTATTTACAGAATATAAATATTCAGTGTTATTTCCCCAATATCTGTGTTATGCTTAAGGAGAGTGGTGATCTAAGTGCTAATGTCTTTCTTCTAGTTAACTTTGATTCTGGCAGCTTGGTTAATTTAGTGTTGGCATGATACTGTACAATTGCTGCACTGATGCTGTTTTGATGGCCGTCAACACTATTATGCATACAGCTAATAGTCTTAGCCTATTAGCTGTATCAATGGTAATTTGGCTAACATTACAATATGGAGATGCTTGATAGAGCTAGGCATAATGTCCTTCTTATCATCATGGCAGACACAGTAGCACAATAATACTTCTCTATTACATGTATGATACTTTCATTGAAAACATCCAAATGGTGACCATCAAGTTATCAAACATTCTGAACGGATAGAGATAGTGTGACCACTGGAACATTGTGTGACATTGTGACCTTTCTCCAACCATCATGTATTGGTTTATTATCAAATTATCTTTACAAGTCAGCTGTTGACCAATAACTCATTTTTATGAGTCTAGGGGTGGCAAGTAGGGGTTTTAATTCCTTGTCCGAGGATTTTTGACAGGACAAGGAAATATTGATTGTCACAATTGACTGTAAATCCATGGATGCCTCCCTAATCAATAGGCCACTTTCCTATCCCATTGAGTTTCAAAATCAGATTGGGAGTGTTCTTCGATGGAAAGGACTTTTGTCAAAAGCTTGAGACGTTTTGGTCATTTATTTTTTGTCTTTGTGGTTCCATGTGTTGCCTATTGAATTATTTGTTTGTTTTTGAAGCAGTTCTCTCTGCGTGAATCTCTATCTGCTTATTCAACCTTATATTCATTTAGAGACTTGTACAAGAAGAACAATGAGTCATTCTAAAGAGAAGGTTGAATATAAAGGTGAAGCAACAGATTTGGATTTGGTTAAATATAGATGGGTTGTTAAGAAAAAACAGTTATTATTCTTTTAAACGGTTGGACTACACTGAAAAAACTGACACGTTGACTTTAATTAAATGTACAATGTCTACAAATGTCACTAAACTGTATTAGGTTAGTTGAAAGCAATAATTTTAAGTTGATAATATTTGCCTTAATATTATTGCTTTCAACTATCCTAATAGCATTATGTGATATCTGCTGATTTAATAAAATTCAACATTTCCGTTTTGTCAGTGTGTTTTCATCCCAGGACTTTAAACCTTTCAAAATGTCTTTTAACTACATGAAAGTTCAATGTAACATATAATTTGCCTTGTGCAGCATTCCCTCTCCTGTCAATGCGGGTCCTGATAAAACAAAATGTTAATGGACAAAAACTAAATGATTACAGCCAAAATGCCAAACTCAGGAATTGTAAAGCTGTGACTGTCAACTTCCTAAATCCAGTTGATTCTCCTAAACAATCCAAATGAGTCCAAATTGTCAAATAGATCAATCAGAGAAACTTCACTGACATAGAAAAGGCAGGTATTCAGATACCAGGAAACAGGCAGAGGTTCAGAAAAGCAGGAATAAGGAATTCATTATGTAGATCTTAGCGTATCTTGCAAATAACTAATGGAATTGGGCCCATACCGAAGCAAGGAGCAGGTCAGGTGACAGAACTGGCGGGAAAAGGGTATTCAAATGAGTGGTGGAAATTACAAGTTATGGAAATAAAAAAACACATTGGAGGATTGGAAACAAAGGAATACAAAATTCAATATTTGTTATTATTGAATTTGATCTCCAGCATTTATATACAATCAAAAAGTGTATGTGTTTCATGCAGCAGCTTCCTTAAAAAAACATTGATGGTACTAGACTGGAGAGCAGGGTGGGAATTTCACGACGGCCACGACGGCCATGGCCGTCGTTGCCCCACACTTTGGCCGTGATGCCCTGTGAAAAAAATGCAATTCACGGCCAAAGTGGCCTTGATGCCCCTGTCAAAAGTTCCAGTGTAAACAACGCTAGTAAAGTCATATTAGTGCGCGCAGTAGGATAGTCCCGTGCCTGTGGATCAGAGCGATTGCTCTGCTGTGATTGTTCCGTCAGAAATGCCTGTAGGGGCCCGACAGCCTCCTCTCAGCCGCGGGAGCAGACAAGCACAGGTAAGCAAGCGGACCAAGCTGTTTTGATATGATTAACTGAAGTATGTGGTGGTATTTGAAAGGACTTAACATTTACGTGTTTATAGAAAGTACTATTGATAGGTAATTACCATTGTATTAGCCTATTTAAAGTCGACTCGTTACATTTTGTCATGAAAACTAGCGATAGCTAGCTAGTTTGGATAGCGCTAACGTCTTCCCTTCAAGGGGTCTACATCTAGTGTTGCTTCTACAAGCTAGCAGATAGCTGTCACCTTTGAATCTAGTATTTTTCTTGCTAAGCGGTTTTGATATAATACATGACTGACTTATGTGGTTTATGGCTGAACTTAACGTATACGTTAAAGAAACACTATTGCTATTCAGCCATTTGTAAAACGACTGGTGTTGACGTTAGTGCTACACTTTTCAGTCATGTTGATTGACTAGCGTAATTTAACCAAACGGCCTTTGTGCCCTGTCATGTGGCCTTTGTGCCCTTGAAAAAAATGTGAACGGGAAGGCCAAATGGCCTTGCCCCTAAAATGACGAAATTCCAAGCCTGCTGGAGAGTATAGATTAGTTCCTTCTGTTTCATGTATCAGTTACACAGCTCCTATTGCCACCCTCTGCTGTGAGTATTTGACTGACAATATGGAGCTAACAGCCTATCTCTATCCCTCATCATTAATTAAACAGAACCCATGACTGAGTGCTCTTCCTATTGCACAATTGATCCAATCCAGTGCTTGTAGCTCTTATCAGCCCTTAGATGGCATCTTTTTTAAAAGCAGTATCTTGAGGGTCCTTTTTTCAGCTGTGCTTGTTGGCATCAATACTGTTTGGAGAGCTTGGCTCAAAGTATGGTGTAATTTATTTCAGCAGACAGGAATAATATTTGTTACATCTGTTACCTTAAGCATAGTATATTCAAGCTCTACTGTAAAATATTACCATGATTTCACAATATGTAGCTGTAATATTTTACAATAAATTACTGTTTTACCACTTTACCTGTGATGTTCACAATATAATACTGTAATTTAGAATTTCATAGTGAAATCAATACATTCACAGTTAATTACTGTGAATGTACAGGATCAATGATTACCAGGATTTCACAACATGTTACTGTATTATTTCACAGTAAAATACTGTATTCAGACCATCCTCTGTGATAACACAACAAAGTGATTTTCTTGCTTTTATCGCTCTTGCTTGGCTTTAAACACTAATTTCTTTCTTTGGTGCAGGTTTTACTTAAATTGAAAGGGGCACCGCTGCATGTGCCTTAAAATAAACGATGCACCATATAAATCTATGTGAAATTGTTGTCTTGGCTTATTGTTTTCAGGTGCTTCCTGGGCATTAATCCTGAGACGGGCTCGAAAGCCAAAAAGAGGCATGGCAATTTAAACCCCCATGTCAGCACATTCTTCAGAAAAATTGTTGACTTCGAGTGGATGTCTGTGTAGACATATGTTAAATGCTCCCCTCCTTGTTTTATTTTATGTCTCCCTGCTGCGCAGGTGCACCTGGTCTGCCCCTGGCTCCGCCTCTGCCCAGGTGCACCTGGTCTGCCCCTGGCTCCGCCTCTGCCCAGGTGCACCTGGTCTGCCCCTGGCTCCGCCTCTGCCCAGGTGTTCCAAATTCCACTCAGCCGTGTATATATAAAGAGAAGCTGAAGGAGAAGGATGTCTCGCCTATCCTAACGCTCTCCTTAGACACTCTCCTTAGAATACATCTTTGCCATTTTGAGCTGTAGGCCATATTTTTGCAGATATGTTTATGTTTAGCCTGGAGGACCTGGTAGTCCAGTTTTCGTGGCTTTATTTTATTCCCCATAGGGTTTATATTTGATTTCTGGTTGGGTTGGGGGTTCCCTCCTTCTGTTTGTTCCTTTTGGCCAGTCCTCCAGACCTCTTTTTGTTTCCCGTTTCGCTTGTGTGAGCAAACGGCTGATTATCAATAAAT